ATGAAGGTTGCTCCCAACACACAGACATTGTGCGTTGCTGCTCTAGGTAATGAGATCTCACTCATTACCTTGAAACTCGAAGTGACGAATAAGTTGTCCCTTCGAGCTCTAGTCGATTGTGGGGCGTCCAACAATTTTGTGCGACGCCAATCGCTAGAAGATGGTCACTTTAAATTCAGTGAATGTGACACACCTCCTACGAGGATGACGGTACGTCTTGCGTACAGGCGCATCCGTAACCGTCATGAAGCGTATAGTGAAGATTCACTATACGCTAGAAGATACCCAATACGACGATGACTTTATCGTATTGGATTTGGATGACAAATTTGATGTCATCCTTGGAATACCGTGGCTCAGAAGGTACGAACCACGGGTAAACTGGCAACATCGAACAGTAACGATGCCTGCCGCTTGTTCATCAGATGGCCATCTGATGAACGTTTTGGAGCGTCCACAAGCGTGTGGATGTACTACGAGTGAGTGCGATGGCCTCACTTGTGGTACGGTCGTTAGTACGACTGCACAAAACCTTAGTGTACCAAACGGTTACACTTCGGAGCAAAGTTCCGGCGGCTGTGAGGAAACACAGGCTGCGCCGAAGGTCCACCACTCGAATAAGTCGGGTGGACTGGGACAAAGATGTATCCCTAGAGGGGAACATCTAGAAGAGAAACAATCGATCGCTCAGGTTAAGCGAAACGATAATCCTAGATCGACTGGAGAGTCTTTCGTAGAGGATCTCGCTGTGGTTGCGCAACCCCAGCTAGAGGAAGTAAAGGGAATAAGTCCCAAGATTACAAATACGGCGGAAATAAGTTCCCCGAAACCCGCGGGAATAAGTCCCCGGGAAGACGAAGGAATAAGTCCTTCGAAGCCTGAGGGAATAAGTCCCCAGGAAATGACAGAGACATTGAATGTCATAGTCAATAACGGATCATGTGTAGGCGCTTATACACTTGATCTGATTGCGCCTCCGAAGTTAACTTCGGAGATCACTTAGTTGCCAACGCTCGAACATAAAAGATTCTTGCGTGATCTGCGTAGTGGCAAAGTCAAGCAGATCTGCATACTCGTCGCTGAAGACGAGTATGTAATCGACATAAGGTCAGCAACAGTGTTTACTGAGAACGAGAGAGTTCTCAGTAGTTCATCTATGGACGAGAGTGTCCTAGATGAAAAGACACGAATTGAGCGATATGAGTCCCAATCATGGGAATCGCTCAAGACAAATCCTCTCTATGAAGATTTGGTTGAATTCAAGGATGTATTCCCTGAAACTGTTCCGTGCGAATTACCGAAGGATAAAGGTATTCGACACGAAGTCGAGCTTAAACCAGGCTCGAAGTACTGTGTCATGAAGCAGTGGCCACTGCCTCGTGAACAAGTACTTGCGATCGACAAGTTCTTTGCCGATCGTTTAGCAGCGGGCCATGTGAGGGAATCAACTTCCCCACATAGCTCTCCGACCTTCTGTGTGCGAAAAGCAACAGGAGGGTGGCGGATAGTGCACGCGTTCAACAAATTGAACGCTGCAACGGTACCGGCTCAGACGCCGATACCGAGGAAGGACGTAATCATTGATGGTATGTCAAAGAGTACCATCTTTTCGTCCATGGATTTGATGGATGGCTTCTATCAAATCCTAATGCGGGAACGGGATATACCCTATACCGCAGTTAGCACGCCTAGCGGCATGCTCTGGGAATGGCTAGTAATGCCACAAGGGCTCAGTAATGCCCCTGCCACGTTCAACAGGTGTGTATCACATCTGTTGAGGCCAGTACGAGAATTCGCGCCGAGTTATTTCGATGACGTATTCATCCATAGTCGAGCTATGGATGGAAAGTCGGACGTTGAGGTTCACAAGTACCACGTCCGACAAGTTCTTACAATCATGCGAAAGCATCAATTGTATGCAAACCTCAAGAAGTGTATATTTGCAGCAAGCGAAATACCACTTCTTGGGTGCATCGTTGGTAAGAACGGTGTACGTCCTGATCCCGAAAAGATCAAGGCGATCACCGACTGGCCCGTGCCGGTCGATGTCAAAGGTCTTCGAAAATTCCTTGGGCTAGCGGCGTATTTGCATAAGTATTCACGCAATTACGCCGAGATGACTGTACACCTCTCTCGTTTGTTGAAAAAGAACGAGAGGTGGTTATGGAACGCTGAATGTCAACGCTCCTTTGAGGGTATCAAGCAGAGCTTGATACAATCCCCAGTCCTAGCAATAGCCGATCAGGACAGGCCATTTCATGTGGTCTGTGATGCCAGCGATTTCGCAATCGGCTGTGCATTAATGCAGTACGACCTTGAAGGCGTTGAACGCGTCGTCTGCTATCAGTCGCGTCAGCTGCAACCAGCTGAGCGGAACTATCCAGTGCATGACAAGGAACTCCTTGCCATGAAGTATGCACTCGCGAAGTTCAGAGTCTATCTATTAGGAGATAGACCCTTCGTTGTTTACACTGACCATGCGTCCTTACGCACGGCAGTGAACAGCCCGCACCTTTCACAACGAATGGCGCGGTGGTTGTCATTCTTTGCAGAATACAACTTTACGGTCGAGTACAAACCAGGACGACTTAATGTCGTCGCTGATGCACTCTCACGTCGTCCCGACTTTGAAACAGTCGCGAAACCCAACAGTGAGACAGTCACTGTTGCGGTTATGACGTCCTCAGTTCCATCTACAACGTTGTATGATGATGTGAGGCGGGCATACGCCCAAGATGGTGAGATAGTGAAGTTGTTGACACATCTCTCCCAACCATCTCGAGAATCGTTGAAACGATTGTCGTCTGCGTATCGATCTGCATCAGATCGATACACTACTCGTAACGGTTTACTGTACTATACAGCCGTTTCTGGTGACACACCACGTGTTGTCATTCCAGATGATATTGATCTGCGTTTGCGGATCATGTTCGAGTATCACGATGCTCCTATAGGAGGACATCGTGGCCGAGAGAAAACATATCTCACGGTAAGTCGAGACTTCTACTGGCCCCGCCAGTATCAGTTTGTGCGCAAGTATGTTCGCGCATGCGAAGGCTGTCAACGAGTGAAGTCAAGTCCTTCACTGCGTGCACCTTTACAGCCTCTACCGGTTCCGGCTGAGTGCTGGGAATCCATCTCAATGGATTTCGTCTTCGGGTTACCTAAAGACGCACGCGGGAATACGGGTATTCTCGTATTTGTTGACAGACTCAGCAAAATGGTACACCTTGTGGCTGTACCAGAGACAATCACGGCAAGTGGCTGTGCTTGTGTCTTTATTGACACCATCTTCCGACTTCATGGGTTGCCCCGTGAACTCGTATCAGACAGAGATCCACGATTCACTGCTGATTTCTGGCGTTCCGTGTTCAAATCACTCGGAACGCGCTTGAAGATGTCAACATCTGATCATCCAGAGTCAGATGGTCAGACGGAACGTGCCAATCGTGTCCTTGAAGAGATACTTCGAGGATACGTACACTCCTTTAAGAGTTGGAGTGAGTTTTTGCCGATGGTAGAGTTTGCCATCAACAACTCGGTGCATGCGTCGACGACACATACACCGTTTTACGTGAATGGCTTGCGCCATCCGCGTGTACCCACCTTACTAGAGTGTAACTCTGGTTTAAGGGGGGGAGGGACTCGCGCGAGCAAAAACCGATTTGGTTCACGCTCATCACGCTCTGACGAAGAAGTCATTGCGTTTGATGCCGATATCGATAACATCGAAATCGAAGAAGATGATGCCAGTGAGAGTGCGGAAGCCCTCACTGAAGACAATGATCCCAGTGAGAGTGCGGAAGCCCTCACTGAAGAAAAGGTTGTTTTCGCTGCAGTGCGCTCACAGCACACTGAAGCTAACGAGTCATCAGATGAGTTCATACTGGCTCGTGAAACGGTAGTCCGTTTTGTGCAAGACTCCATCGCCGAAGCGGTGGATAAGCAAAAGCAAAACGCTGACAAGAATGGAAGGGCAAACACTCTTTTATTTAATAAAGGTGACTTAGTCCTAATGTCTACGGTTAATCTACCAAAGCATGTAGTGACTAACTTGGGTAGCAGTAAACTACTACCCAAGTACATCGGCCCTTTTCGTGTATTGCACCGCCTAGGCAATGCATACACGATCGAATTACCACGTAAGATGCGAACGCATCCCACGTTTTACGTTGGTCGGCTTAAGCCGTACCATCAGTACGCTGCTTCTTCCGATGAAGAACGCCCTTGCGCTCAAGCATCTCGCAGAGAGCCTTGTGCTCCCGATGGTGGGCATCAACAAGGGTCTGAAGAGCAGCTATCTCATCCCGAGACCGATCAACAATCCCACGAGCTACCCTTAGCTCGTCACGAAGAGATGTCAGAGATCTCTCGTTCTCAAGCTGAGCAAAGGCAAACTCAGCTCGATGCTTCGAGGCAGTGTCCGCCATTTGGAGACGCCTATTCCGCTCATGCTCGAGATCGTCGCGCAACCCTTGCGTTACGCGATCAAAGAAGCTCTCGGGAACACACCGATCCACATGACCGTGTGGAGAGCGTCTTTCCTCCTCCTCCACCTCCATTAGAGGACTCTCGCGGTGGCCAGAGCTATCTAGTTGAGCAGCTGTCGAACCACCGCGACGTGAACGGACGTCGGACGAGTTATCTCGTCCGGTGGCGCGGCTATCCCCCGTCCTGGGATTCTTGGGAGCCCCGCTCCCAACTGATGATCGACGTACTGGGTCTGGTCGAGCAGTACGACGCGGCACATCCTGTGCCGCAGAAGGACCGCCGGAGAAAGTCTTCCCGGCACGGTCGTAAAGGGATTTCAAGTTGTCAATCCCTTCGTACATCTCAATAGAGATACGTACGCGCCACCACGGGCTATTAGGGAGGTAAGCCTCCTTAGGTGCTCGTGCAGAGTTGTTCACACAACATGGGCACGAGTCTCCCCAAGAGAGACAGGGTAATCCTTTCTCCCTTGACAGACGATGCAGCTTGTAGCGTGCACCTGTCGGGGTTCACTTTTCAAACTTATCACGAGCTTTGATAAGTTTGTCGTTCCAAGCGTCACGACCTACATCCTCGAGGTTATGGATGTAGGCGTTCCACGCTTGAAGCAGTGAGGGACCATCACGTTTGTGATTCCCACTGTACCATCGATGTTTGAAGAAAGCATCGATGAAGAATTCATGTTCAGCGCGATAGTCTTTCGCGCTGGGGTCAAGGTGATGGATCCTTGACGAATCGAATAATCGTACTCGATAACGATCACTTGTCGGCGACGACAAGTGATCCATGACAGATTTGGGAGGCATCCATGCCTTCTTCTCGGGAGCGAGACGCAAGACATTGCGGTCCCGCTCTTTCTGCGACGTGCCGACAGAAGTACTGGCACCTCGCTGTGAAGTGGTGTCAATAGGAGAACCGACACCACTGTTAGCGCCCGAGTCTCGCGACCTCGAGCGCCTTCGCTTCGGCGATGGTTCGTCTGATTCATCAGATGAACCAAAGATGCTGCGACGCAAAGCATCGTCCATGCCACGCTTGGCAGGCGGCTTGGATTCAATTGCCGTCGATACGGATCCGTCATCCGTATCAGGAGAGTACGAGACACCGAGCTCGTACTCTGTGAAGACACGAGTGTCTTCATGACCAGCGCCTGCATCACCAGGTGATACAGGCTGAGTCGATTCAGCAACCGATGGGATATCAGTTGCTGTAGTTTCTGCTTCGGCGTCCGCACAGAGACGTGCAGACGCGCTCTCGGCGTCCTTGCTCGCGCATCGCATGGGCTTGTTTACCATGCGATGAGATGTTGGAAAGTGGACGCGGACCAACAAGTGCAAACCCCGTCCCAAATGATTTGGGACGAGTATCCATTTAGTCAATCAGTCACTAAAGTGACTGATGGTTAAGGGGGGGGTGATGTAACGGGGTGAATCGTTACATAACAATTTATAAGAAATTGTTAATAGAATATAACTATAAGAGTTATATTCTCAGAATATTGTCATAAGGACAATATTCTGTAGCACTTCCAAGTAGTCCCTAATTGGTTGATATAGGCCATTATATCAACCAACGAAGACGCGCCACGACAGACGCACGCAATGAGTGGTGAGCAGATAACTGATTTACACATTTGTATTTAGACATAGTTAGATGAAGATAAATAGTGATTTATTGCAGACATTAACTATTATAAATACAGTTCTACTTTTTACTCTAACCGAGTACTCGCTTCTTCTTACCGTCTTCCTCTGCACGTACGAGTGTACGTGAAGTTACGAGGCACCGCCTTATTCTGTTATCAGAATAAGTAGCTTGTACTGTCACCAGTACAAGCTTCAGGGTGCCCCGTTACAAATGATGGACCTAAAAGACTTGAACATAGCTAAATCTAGTGGCTGCAGGAGTTGAGTTGCTCTCGCTACAGGGAATCACTAGGATGGTCTTAAGCCGCACAGCCTCGCGCACAATCTCGCTGTTGTAGCGACCATTGAATCCGTCTGTACTAGAATCAGGAGTTCCTGCACAGCAAGAGAAACATCGTCTGAAATTTGCCGGAGCCATCGGATGATCCCGCGCTATCCATATACTTCAGGGTAGCATTCGTTACATCAACGCTCGAGACGTCGCACTCGTCTAACACATCGCGGATAAACTCTCACCTGGTGTGATGTACAGCGATAAGTAGGGAAAGCCCTTCGCTGACGTGCAAGCGACGATCGTGAGCTAGAAGTTGCACTGACATGTCTTTCTTCACAAGTTCTTCAATTCCTTGACCGCGAAGGTGGTCGCCCACGACCACCTTTGTATGCCTACACTTCTGGGACAATCCCTGATCATCCATGTTGAAGACCCGATAAGGGCTTGCATTGTGCGCGATGGCTTGCTTCAGCTACTTGTTAAAGAAATTCAGTGTACAGTCGAAGCTTATATCGTTCTGATCACGCTTGAAGCCTGGAGGTATCGTAGCGATAGATTCGGATGATACTTGAGAAAGCATGATACCCATTGTACCGTCAGGAAGCCGGTTCACTGCGTCACACCGTACTCGGCACGGTATATATCGTTCGTCTTCACCAGCACCACCTCGCAATGGACCAGCAGTCCTTTCTTCAGCATTCGACCACCCAGTCATTAAAATCATCCTCAAGTTTCTCTCCTTGGATTGGTGGCGGTCCGTGTTTTTGCAGAGCCACGCGGTTCTTAAGCAAGTTTGTTCGATGCCGAGTTGTTCACTCCTGAACGTCATGACATTGGTTACAAACGCGGCTGATCTTGGTTCCTATAGCATACGCGAGCAGAAGCTTCCATATCTTCTGCTGCATAGTTCTTTCGACTTAGTGTAGACATGGTGGGCTTCGTGTTCCCCCTCCCTCTACCGCTACACGTCTTGACCCGACTCTCTGGCACGACACATCTCGGCAAAAATCGGTAATCTACGTGACATCCAATCATTGTATTTCAAGTGTAAAAGGGCACCGGTCACTTGAACTGTCACAGTGGAAGACGATTACTCAGAACACAGATTAAGTAGGTGCCTCGAAACTTCATGTACACGCGTCGTTCAGAAGAAGGTTTAGCACAAGAAAAGGGTTAGGCGTAGAACTGCAACTCTTACGGGAATTCTCCAGGTATCAAATCATACTCAGTCTTCTTTTTACCATTTTGAATCATAAACATGAGTAGTAACTATTTGATCACGCCTTATTGCGTTCTTCTGCGTGGCTCGGATTATTTGATCAATATCATTTTATTGTATTTACAAATAAGAAGTGTACTACTTCCGCAACCCCTGATTACCTCTTGAACTAACATTGTGAGATGATGATGTCCGTTCTAAGATAGTGTTCCTACCTGATATTCACCTTATGTTCAAGATTATGTAATGGAGGCACTTCGTTACGCCGTCAACTCGGACATATCGTAAGTGAAAAAATGGACTTGTAGATGCTTCTGAGCAAGCGAGGTACGATAAAGCCCCTTCGATAGCGAGCGGAATCAGAGTCAGAAGATGCTGATCGATGGTCCATCGTGGAGCCACCTGCAAAAAAAAGGAGTTTTTGAAGTGCGCTCGCCCGAATTGCAACTCTTTGCTTTTTGCTTAAATGGATGGATTGAAACGCAAAGTATTCTCCTTCCCTTATGCGCATCTTCTGAGGTCTCTACCTCTGCCCCCTAAAAATTTTCAGCTGTTCTTCCTCTCGCCAGTACGCCTAGCAACTCTTTTTACACGTCGACGAAATGATTACGGCTCACCACCAATGCAATCTTAATCAGGACTCACAAAATGAGCTTTTCATGAACTTCCTCCTTCCACCTAAGACTTTCGTGTAGACGCCTCAGCTGCTAATTTTAAACGCCATACGCCAAGAATAGACATTCAAAACCTATTAAAAACGGGTGGTCACTTACTGCATATACGGGAGACGCATATATTTATTTAGGAAACGTTCAGATATTTTTGGCTTATACCTCTCGATTCAGATTCATTATACATTACTTAAAGACATTGGGTTGATTAGGTAAAGAGATTAACTTGTCCAACCATATACCAATGGGAACTCACGATACGCGGCACACATTACATGTACTCAAAATGTGGAGCGTTTCGCCCACCCACCACCCGAGTTTCAAGCACAATTCTACGCAGAAACAAGCCTTTCACTTTCTTATATCAGCTGCCATCTGTAACGGGGTGAATCGTTACATAACAATTTATAAGAAATTGTTAATAGAATATAACTATAAGAGTTTTATTCTCAGAATATTGTCATAAGGACAAATATTCTGTAGCACTTACGAGTAGTTCCTAATTGGTTGATATAGGCCATTATATCAACCAACGAAGACGCGCCACGACAGACGCACGCAATGAGTGGTGAGCAGATAACTGATTTACACATTTGTATTTAGACATAGTTAGATGAAGATAAATAGTGATTTATTGCAGACATTAACTATTATAAATACAGTTCTACTTTTTACTCTAACCGAGTACTCGCTTCTTCTTACCGTCTTCCTCTGCACGTACGAGTGTACGTGAAGTTACGAGGCACCGCCTTATTCTGTTATCAGAATAAGTAGCTTGTACTGTCACCAGTACAAGCTTCAGGGTGCCCCGTTACACCTGGTAGCACTTCGTAGTCCGTTCAAGGACCGCGTTCACATCCAACATGAATGTGTTGGATGATGAAGATGACCAAAGCTTTCACGCTACGCGTGACGGCTACTCCCATTTGAGCGATGTCGAATGGGATGCGGTTGAACGAATGGGTTCGACCATGGGCATCCATGCTGTTAGCGTCATGCTAGAGGCTCTCAATAGAGATGCCCAACATGCTACTATCGCCAAGTTCATTCAAAATGAACTTGACGCTGAACGCGAGAAAGTAGCCTTGCTTCACCAACAAGGTTCTCAACAAGCAGAGCTGTTGAGAGAACAGGGTGCTCAACAGTTTGAACTGTTGAGACAGCAGCAGGCTGCTGCTGGTGGGTCGATGCACTCGCGTCGACCCGAAACCTTGAAGATTGACATCTCCAAGTATAGGGGGGTCGAAGAGGACTCCCTCTTGAGATGGTTCGTCGAATTGGATGACGCCATAAGGGCGCGTCGCATCGACGACGGGGATATGCAAGTTGCATTTGCCCAGTCAAATCTGGCAGGACGTGCCAAGACTTGGGCACTGGGGCTCAAGCTGCACGACCCATATGCGTTTGGGTCGTTGGAAGTCTTCAAGTCGCGGCTCAGACAAACGTTTGAACCGCCTAGAGCTGAGTTCAGGGCTCGAACCGAACTCTTGAAGCTCAAGCAGGGTAAGCGTGATGTGCACGCTTACGCTCAACATATACGACATCTTACGAGTTGTATAAGTTCCAATCCAGTGGATGAACACACGTTGGTTTCGGTGTTCATGCAGGGTCTTGCGGATGGTCCCGTCAAGACTCACCTGTTCCGGCTTGAACTAGATTCACTAGAACAAGCCATTTCCATTGCGGAGCAGGAAGACTTCAGTCTGAGACAGGCTCGCGCCAGCTCGACATCATATCGTCAACCGAGACGATATGACAACGGAGGTCCAGAGCCGATGGAACTCTGTTATGTAGAGAGTGAGAAGGTTCGCTCTACAGGCTACAAGAAGTTGCAGAGATGCAACAGATGTCAAAAGACAGGACACTACGCTTACGAGTGTAGTGCCCCTCGTCCAGTGTCTCGCGACACTGGGCGTAGTGACCGTCCACCCATGAGAAAGGGGCAGGGACGAGGGTCCGCAGTTGGTGCAAAGACGCAACAACGAGATGGACCGTCAAAAAAACGGACAGGATCAGTAGGTGCGGAGCACCCTACTGATCCAGCAACGTCAAGAGAATTTGTAGGCCTCTTGATGAAGGTTGCTCCCAACACACAGACATTGTGCGTTGCTGCTCTAGGTAATGAGATCTCACTCATTACCTTGAAACTCGAAGTGACGAATAAGTTGTCCCTTCGAGCTCTAGTCGATTGTGGGGCGTCCAACAATTTTGTGCGACGCCAATCGCTAGAAGATGGTCACTTTAAATTCAGTGAATGTGACACACCTCCTACGAGGATGACGGTACGTCTTGCGACAGGCGCATCCGTAACCGTCATGAAGCGTATAGTGAAGATTCACTATACGCTAGAAGATACCCAATACGACGATGACTTTATCGTATTGGATTTGGATGACAAATTTGATGTCATCCTTGGAATACCGTGGCTCAGAAGGTACGAACCACGGGTAAACTGGCAACATCGGACAGTAACGATGCCTGCCGCTTGTTCATCAGATGGCCATCTGATGAACGTTTTGGAGCGTCCACAAGCGTGTGGATGTACTACGAGTGAGTGCGATGGCCTCACTTGTGGTACGGTCGTTAGTACGACTGCACAAAACCTTAGTGTACCAAACGGTTACACTTCGGAGCAAAGTTCCGGCGGCTGTGAGGAAACACAGGCTGCGCCGAAGGTCCACCACTCGAATAAGTCGGGTGGACTGGGACAAAGATGTATCCCTAGAGGGGAACATCTAGAAGAGAAACAATCGATCGCTCAGGTTAAGCGAAACGATAATCCTAGATCGACTGGAGAGTCTTTCGTAGAGGATCTCGCTGTGGTTGCGCAACCCCAGCTAGAGGAAGAAAAGGGAATAAGTCCCAAGATTACAAATACGGCGGAAATAAGTTCCCCGAAACCCGCGGGAATAAGTCCCCGGGAAGACGAAGGAATAAGTCCTTCGAAGCCTGAGGGAATAAGTCCCCAGGAAATGACAGAGACATTGAATGTCATAGTCAATAACGGATCATGTGTAGGCGCTTATACACTTGATCTGATTGCGCCTCCGAAGTTAACTTCGGAGATCACTCAGTTGCCAACGCTCGAACATAAAAGGTTCTTGCGTGATCTGCGTAGTGGCAAAGTCAAGCAGATCTGCATACTCGTCGCTGAAGACGAGTATGTAATCGACATAAGGTCAGCAACAGTGTTTACTGAGAACGAGAGAGTTCTCAGTAGTTCATCTATGGACGAGAGTGTCCTAGATGAAAAGACACGAATTGAGCGATATGAGTCCCAATCATGGGAATCGCTCAAGGAAAACCCTCTCTATGAGGATTTGGTTGAATTCAAGGATGTATTCCCTGAAACTGTTCCGTGCGAATTACCGAAGGATAAAGGTATTCGACACGAAGTCGAGCTTAAACCAGGCTCGAAGTACTGTGTCATGAAGCAGTGGCCACTGCCTCGTGAACAAGTACTTGCGATCGACAAGTTCTTTGCCGATCGTTTAGCAGCGGGCCATGTGAGGGAATCAACTTCCCCACATAGCTCTCCGACCTTCTGTGTGCGAAAAGCAACAGGAGGGTGGCGGATAGTGCACGCGTTTAACAAATTGAACGCTGCAACGGTACCGGCTCAGACGCCGATACCGAGGAAGGACGTAATCATTGATGGTATGTCAAAGAGTACCATCTTTTCGTCCATGGATTTGATGGATGGCTTCTATCAAATCCTTATGCGGGAACGGGATATACCCTATACCGCAGTTAGCACGCCTAGCGGCATGCTCTGGGAATGGCTAGTAATGCCACAAGGGCTCAGTAATGCCCCTGCCACGTTCAACAGGTGTGTATCACATCTGTTGAGGCCAGTACGAGAATTCGCGCCGAGTTATTTCGATGACGTATTCATCCATAGTCGAGCTATGGATGGAAAGTCGGACGTTGAGGTTCACAGGTACCACGTCCGACAAGTTCTTACAATCATGCGAAAGCATCAATTGTATGCAAACCTCAAGAAGTGTATATTTGCAGCAAGCGAAATACCACTTCTTGGGTGCATCGTTGGTAAGAACGGTGTACGTCCTGATCCCGAAAAGATCAAGGCGATCACCGACTGGCCTGTGCCGGTCGATGTCAAAGGTCTTCGAAAATTCCTTGGGCTAGCGGCGTATTTGCATAAGTATTCACGCAATTACGCCGAGATGACTGTACACCTCTCTCGTTTGTTGAAAAAGAACGAGAGGTGGTTATGGAACGCTGAATGTCAACGCTCCTTTGAGGGTATCAAGCAGAGCTTGATACAATCCCCAGTCCTAGCAATAGCCGATCAGGACAGGCCATTTCATGTGGTCTGTGATGCCAGCGATTTCGCAATCGGCTGTGCATTAATGCAGTACGACCTTGAAGGCGTTGAACGCGTCGTCTGCTATCAGTCGCGTCAGCTGCAACCAGCTGAGCGGAACTATCCAGTGCATGACAAGGAACTCCTTGCCATGAAGTATGCACTCGCGAAGTTCAGAGTCTATCTATTAGGAGATAGACCCTTCGTTGTTTACACTGACCATGCGTCCTTACGCACGGCAGTGAACAGCCCGCACCTTTCACAACGAATGGCGCGGTGGTTGTCATTCTTTGCAGAATACAACTTTACGGTCGAGTACAAACCAGGACGACTTAATGTCGTCGCTGATGCACTCTCACGTCGTCCCGACTTTGAAACAGTCGCGAAACCCAACAGTGAGACAGTCACTGTTGCGGTTATGACGTCCTCAGTTCCATCTACAACGTTGTATGATGATGTGAGGCGGGCATACGCCCAAGATGGTGAGATAGTGAAGTTGTTGTCACATCTCTCCCAACCATCTCGAGAATCGTTGAAACGATTGTCGTCCTGCGTATCGATCTGCATCAGATCGATACACTACTCGTAACGGTTTACTGTACTATACAGCCGTTTCTGGTGACACACCACGTGTTGTCATTCCAGATGATACTGATCTGCGTTTGCGGATCATGTTCGAGTATCACGATGCTCCTATAGGAGGACATCGTGGCCGAGAGAAAACATATCTCACGGTAAGTCGAGACTTTTACTGGCCCCGCCAGTATCAGTTTGTGCGAAAGTATGTTCGCGCATGCGAAGTCTGCCAACGAGTGAAGTCAAGTCCTTCACTGCGTGCACCTTTACAGCCTCTACCGGTTCCGGCTGAGTGCTGGGAATCCATCTCAATGGATTTCGTCTTCGGGTTACCCAAAGACGCACGCGGGAATACGGGTATTCTCGTATTTGTTGACAGATTCAGCAAAATGGTACACCTTGTGGCTGTACCAGAGACAATCACGGCAAGTGGCTGTGCTTGTGTCTTTATTGACACCATCTTCCGACTTCATGGGTTGCCCCGTGAACTCGTATCAGACAGAGATCCACGATTCACTGCTGATTTCTGGCGTTCCGTGTTCAAATCACTCGGAACGCGCTTGAAGATGTCAACATCTGATCACCCAGAGTCAGATGGTCAGACGGAACGTGCCAATCGTGTCCTTGAAGAGATACTTCGAGGATACGTACACTCCTTTAAGAGTTGGAGTGAGTTTTTGCCAATGGTAGAGTTTGCCATCAACAACTCGGTGCATGCGTCCACGACACATACACCGTTTTACGTGAATGGCTTGCGCCATCCGCGTGTACCCACCTTACTAGAGTGTAACTCTGGTTTAAGGGGGAGGGACTCGCGCGAGCAAAAACCGATTTGGTTCACGCTCATCACGCTCTGACGAAGAAGTCATTGCGTTTGATGCCGATATCGATAACATCGATATCGAAGAAGATGATGCCAGTGAGAGTGCGGAAGCCCTCACTGAAGACAATGATCCCAGTGAGAGTGCGGAAGCCCTCACTGAAGAAAAGGTTGTTGTCGCTGCAGTGCGCTCACAGCACACTGAAGCTAACGAGTCATCAGATGAGTTCATACTGGCTCGTGAAACGGTAGTCCGTTTTGTGCAAGACTCCATCGCCGAAGCGGTGGATAAGCAAAAGCAAAACGCTGACAAGAATGGAAGGGCAAACACTCTTTTATTTAATAAAGGTGACTTAGTCCTACTGTCTACGGTTAATCTACCAAAACATGTAGTGACTAACTTGGGTAGCAGTAAACTACTACCCAAGTACATCGGCCCTTTTCGTGTATTGCACCGCCTAGGCAATGCATACACGATCGAATTACCACGTAAGATGCGAACGCATCCCACGTTTTACGTTGGTCGGCTTAAGCCGTACCATCAGTACGCTATTTCTTCCGATGAAGAACGCCCTTGCGCTCAAGAATCTCGCAGAGAGCCTTGTGCTCCCGATGGTGGGCATCGACAAGGGTCTGAAGAGCAGTTATCTCATCCCGAGACCGATCAACAATCCCACGAGCTACCCTTAGCTCGTCACGAAGAGATGTCAGAGATCTCTCGTTCTCAAGCTGAGCAAAGGCAAACTCAGCTCGATGCTTCGAGGCAGTGTCCGCCATTTGGAGACGCCTATTCCGCTCATGCTCGAGATCGTCGCGCAACCCTTGCGTTACGCGATCAAAGAAGCTCTCGGGAACACACCGATCCACATGACCGTGTGGAGAGCGTCTTTCCTCCTCCTCCACCTCCATTAGAGGACTCTCGCGGTGGCCAGAGCTATCTAGTTGAGCAGCTGTCGAACCACCGCGACGTGAACGGACGTCGGACGAGTTATCTCGTCCGGTGGCGCGGCTATCCCCCGTCCTGGGATTCTTGGGAGCCCCGCTCCCAACTGATGATCGACGTACTGGTTCTGGTTGAGCAGTACGACGCGACACATCCTGTGCCGCAGAAGGACCGCCGGAGAAAGTCTTCCCGGCACGGTCGTAAAGGGATTTCAAGTTGTCAATCCCTTCGTACATCTCAATAGAGATACGTACGCGCCACCACGGGCTATTAGGGAGGTAAGCCTCCTTAGGTGCTCGTGCAGAGTTGTTCACACAACATGGGCACGAGTCTCCCCAAGAGAGACAGGGTAATCCTTTCTCCCTTGACAGACGATGCAGCTTGTAGCGTGCACCTGTCGGGGTTCACTTTTCAAACTTATCACGAGCTTTGATAAGTTTGTCGTTCCAAGCGTCACGACCTACATCCTCGAGGTTATGGATGTAGGCGTTCCACGCTTGAAGCAGTGAGGGACCATCACGTTTGTGATTCCCACTGTACCATCGATGTTTGAAGAAAGCATCGATGAAGAATTCATGTTCAGCGCGATAGTCTTTCGCGCTGGGGTCAAGGTGATGGATCCTTGACGAATCGAACAACCGTGTTCGATAACAATCACTCGTCGTCGCCGACAAGTGATCCATGACGGATTTAGGAGGCATCCATGCCTTCTTTTCAGGAGCGAGACGCAACACATTGCGGTCCCGCTCTTCCTGCGACGTGCCGACAGAAGTACTGGCACCTCGCTGTGAAGTGGTGTCCATAGGTGAACCGACACCACTGTTAGCGCCCGAGTCTCGCGACCTCGAGCGCCTTCGCTTCGGCGATGGTTCATCTGATTCATCAGATGAACCAAAGATGCTGCGAAGCAAAGCATCGTCCATGCCACGCTTGGCAGGCGGCTTAGATTCAATCGCCGTCGATACGGATCCGTCTTCCGTATCAGGAGAGTTTAAGACACCCAGCTCATTCTCTGTGAAGACATGAGTGTCTTCATGACGAGTGTCTGCATCCCCAGGTGATACAGGCTGAGTCGCTTCAGCAACCGATGACGCATCGGTTGCAGCGGTTTCTGCTTTAGCGTCTGCACAGAGACGTGCAGACGCGCTCTCGGCGGCCTTGCTCGCGCATCGCATGGGCTTGTTTACCATTCGATGAGATGTTGGAAAGTGGACGCGGACCAACAAGTGCAAACCCTGTCCCAAATGATTTGGGACGAGTATCCATTTAGTCAATCAGTCACTAAAGTGACTGATGGTTAAGGGGGGGGTGATGTAACGGGGTGAATCGTTACATAACAATTTATAAGAAATTGTTAATAGAATATAACTATAAGAGTTATATCCTCAGAATATTGTCATAAGGACAATATTCTGTAGCACTTACGAATAGTTCCTAATTGGTTGAGATAGGCCATTACATCAACCAAAGAAGACGCGCCACGACAGACGCACGCAATGAGTGGTGAGCAGATAGTTGATTTACACATTTGTATTTAGACATAGTTAGATGAAGATAAATAGTGATTTATTGCAGACATTAACTATTATAAATACAGTTCTACTTTTTACTTTAACCAAGTACTCGCTTCTTCTTACCGTCTTCCTCTGCACGTACGAGTGTACGTGAAGTTACGAGGCACCGCCTTATTCTGTTATCAGAATAAGTAGCTTGTACTGTCACCAGTACAAGCTTCAGGGTGCCCCGTTACACCATCGCTCCAGTATCTATCGTACAACAGACAGTGATAGATCTTACTTGGATCCCATGAGAAAAGAAACTTGATGCTCCTAAATCTACGAACAATTTTACCTTCGTGAACATGCCGAGCCAAGCGAAAGAAGCGGGAGGACAGAAAAGCCTATTAGTACAAGCGAAAGTGTGACAAGTGTTGATTAACGTCCAAATGTAACCTTGGCTGTAGGCATATTCTAATCCTACTGGACACCTGAGATCAACTTTATGTGAATAAAGAAGAATTGTTTTACACGGGTCACGGACATTTACAAAGTCTGTTTGCCGAAACGCAGAAAGACTTAGATTGAAGTTTTGTTGCTACAAGATAATCGATTATATTATGACTATCATTGTCTTCAATCTTTAACAATGATTTTTTTAGAAACCGTTGGTTATTTGTTGCTATGAAATACGTAACCCATATGCTTCGACTGATTTATAATGTAACAGGAATTGACAGATCACGCCACTACAAAGCATGTTCGTATGCAATCTCAAGTCTACATTGAAAAAGTATTTTATCTTATGAGTATTTTTGATTGCATTTGCGTCACCACGGGCTGTCGGACTAGGTGGGTGGAATGCAGCGGCTATATGAAGTTAACCTGATTTTGCATTTAGCATGTTTAAGGTGAAGTATACGATTCCTTCCCTTGTAAGCCTGAGGAGAAGGCAAATCCTGCTTAGCATTATTTTGCTTAGACCGACACGCTGCCGTTGTACGAAATTCTCTTCGAACCTTACAGCTCATAATAAAGTTTCCATACCAGAGAAAAGTGTAAAATGCATTACTTCGCAGTACTAAGGAGCATGGAAGCTCGACATTTATAAACGTCTCACACCACGAGACTCTTTTTTAGGCCTTGTGAGTCTTAATTAATGCGTTTAATATGGAAGCAAGACATGAAGTTTGAGACTGGGAAGATGATGCATCAATCCGTGGCACACGTATTGAATCTGATGGACTCAGAAGTTCTGCATTACTTAAGACACGCCGAATAGGATGAAGAAGATGAGAAATTGACTTACACTGTTACTACAAACAATTTAATACTCTACTTATTATGAATTTTGCCATTGCAGACGAGTCTGACGGCTGAGATGTGGACATTACTACTGTTAATAAGAGAAACTAAAATTTGGCAAAGCACGTTACTATAAGGCCTTAATGAACGGTGCATGTTTCTTAAATGGTGCATTTGCTGCAAACCGGTCGCAAAATCAACAGCGTTCTCATCGACGTTACTACTTGCTAGAAATCTACAATTCACGTACATCGCATACGAGAGAGCTATACAGCTTACACAAATCGTTTATTACAGATCCCAGCATGTCCCGGTCGTTTAAATCAAACCTCAATGTTTATTAAAAGAAAAGGTGTTTTTTATGGACAATGTAGTGAAATTTGTGCGGTAGAAACGAGAGAGGTCTCTCCGTCATGCTTATGGAAAGAGAAACCACAAAATTTGTGACGCAAAGATGGACGACTACCTACCTTTACTATAGGTAGTCGCTTAACTTAGCGGCACACATTAACGAACAAAGAGCGGGAAAAGGTTGAACAGTTCTGCATTCAGTAAGCGCCGCTATTCTGGGCGACCATCGATTATACGCTTCAGATTAAACGAAGCTCAGTAAATTTATTCCACTACACTCAAACTTGTGGCATTGTTGTGAAAAGGCGAGCATCGACATACGTCGTAATTCTTTTTCTCATATTACGTAAATGCTGGACGATCACCTGACCTTTTGGTACCTTAAATGCTGGAACGATATGACGCCAAACATCAGGAATTCATGGCGCTTGCCATGTATGTCAAACTAAACTAGTGTCGAGATTGCCATATAAGATGACGCCAATTGTGTTACAACCACCTTTGGATTCAAGATAACGTGTTTCATCGAATAATGATATCAAAACATTGCCGCGATACATACCAGTTCGCAGTGTGAGGCACATCGAAAATTATTGCAGGAGCAGAGTCCTTGACATCGGCTGTCTACACAAATAAAAAGACGACGTTGAGCAAATCACCTCTCCCATTGATCAAACATGGATTAAATTTGCATCAAATAAGGCTGAGGAAGAGGTGAAAAGATACCTTTCACTCATACCAATAAATAGAGATTAGTCACGATTGGAGTGGTAGGCTCTTCACCATCAGCAAGTTTTCACGCTGATAAGGGTGGCCCACTTTTAGTTCACAATTACTGCCAGTTCAACACCCCCGATAGGGTATTTTTAAAAGGTTGGCGGACGTACCGTTGGTATAGAACGTCGCCGTTCAGAATAAAGCTTAAATTGGCTTTATACCTTG